GGGGGGGGTCTTTCTCTTATTTCTCTTTGCCTCTATTTTGCCTTGTAGCACAGTTATCATTAAGTCTGTATTTATGTTTCTGTTGGCTCTATTTTTTTCCTCCAGATCCATGTGTGTCGAGGTGCGGAGAAGTCTTTGCTTGGCCACCTGAGTAGAGAAGGAAATCTTCCTGGTGCAGCCTGGTCCCAGAAGGTTGATGGTCAAATCCAAGCGGAGCACTCTGTGTCCTCGCTGATCCGATGTATAAATGAAAATCCAGGTAGAGTTGAGTGTCTTTATTGACACTCGTCAACCAGCTATGTCTGTTCCTCTTCGCTGTTGTGTTTAAACGTGATTTGGGTGATAATAAGCACCCCTCAGGGCGGTGCCTCTGACTGAAGTGTCTTTAGGCCATTCCCAAAAGGGGGACATTTCTCATTCTAATGCACAGTAGAATTGTAAATGGGCTGATCCAACAATGTCATGCTCATAACTGTGCCTGAACTACAACAGGGAACTGCTGCTTTTTCTTTCCTAATCCTTACTATCATCAATTTCCTCTACTTTTGTATGTTTGTCACTCTCTTGTGACCCTCTATTTCCGGGGTGCCTTGATAGTGGAAGCAGACTTTGTGCTGCTGAAGCTAGAGAGGTGAGCAGAGTAAGTCTGATTCCCTGTAAGGACTTTTCTGTTGACATCCACCCCTGGGCACTCATATAACCTTATGCAGTTCCGAGCGCCGTAAAACCTCTACTACTGATAATAAGCTGGGGGAAAGGGGGTGGGTGTGCGGTGTTTTAAGTAAGGGGTGGGGAAGTGGTAGATCTATGCAGAAGCTGGGAGATAGGACTGGATTTTTTTTTTAAATGAGAGAGACAGAGAGAGAGACAGAGAGAGAGAGAGAGACAAAGAGAGAGAGAGAGATAGAGAGAGAGAAAAAGAGAGATTAAGAGATAGAGAGATAGAAAAAGAGAGAGAGACAAAGTGAGAGAGACAAAGAGAGAGAGGGGGTGGGGATGGAGGGGAGGGAGAGAGATAGAAAGAGTGAGAGAGACAGAGAGAGAGTAAAAGTATAGAAAAAAACCTGCAAAAAAGCAATAGGCAGTTATTTACATTCTGACACTGACTACTTTCACTGGATTCTGATCCAAGGTGATCCCATAAGGTACAAAAATTCCACTCATTTTGTGCAAATAGTAAAATTTTCATCATGAATTGATTTTGTTCATATGCTTACCAAAACAAATTTAAAATTAAAAAAACCCACCATCCCAGAAAAATCTGCTGCGTATGTCTGTTTACTCCTGGATCGACTACAAAAACAGCAACTGGATTCTATTCTCTGTGAGCTCACAAGTAATGTAAAGGTTTCCAATGCTTTTGTTTCAGGAGAAATTACCCTTGTGTGCCTGGGCCCTCTCACTAACTTAGCCCTGGCCCTTAGGCTGGACCCTCTAGTGGCCGACCACCTCAAGGATGTTTATATTGTTGGAGGAAATGTTGAAGGTAAGAGTGAAGTGTTCCTTTACAGTGTAGTGTTAAAAGCTTCAATTTTGGTTTTTAAAAATTGGAAACTTCAACTTTGATGTGAAGCATTTTGAACAAATGTCTTCTTGTGACACTTGTTACCTAACGTCGCCCAGCTTTTCTAATGTCTCAAATTAAAAATAATGTATGGTATTGTTTTCGTGTGCTCAAGAAATATTTCATCAAAATACTAATTCTAAATGCTGAAAAAAAGCCCCCCAAAATACATAATGATTGTACAATTTTTATTGTTAAAGAATGAAACATATATTTTTCTCTGTCTTGAAAAATTTGGCTTTTTGGGCTCAACACATTTGAACAACTTGCCAACGCTGTGTTGTGTAGTGTGACTTTTCAAGTGATCGGTGATTGTCTTCCAAATGTTTAGGTCAAGGAGATCTGTCCAGCTGTGCAGAGCAAAACTTCCTGCATGATCCAGAGGCCGCCCACATAGTCCTGCAAGAGATTAAAAATGCTCATATATTGCCTTATGAGGTCAGCGAAAGACACAAGATACCTTTTGTAAGTCAGGATATGTTCATTTCTTGTCTTGAAGTTTTTTGTTTGTGTCTCTTACAAGTAGTTGCACTTAAATTTCTTTATTCGCTGAATGTACTACTATTCCAAATTGAATTCGATAGTAATAGTCATTTATTGCCTTGCTATTGTGTTGATGAAATGTATTTCTGTTTTCTAAAAAAGATATACTCTGGTGGTTTTTACACTCCCCAAGGGGGCTCTCATGGCCTAGAGGTTAAGGTGTTTTCCTCTCATTCAAAGGTCCCAGGTTCGAATCCGGCTAGCGACGGAAAAATTTTCTTCTCTAAAATTATTTCATTTCATCTCCTTTCCTGCTCTCTAACAATGTTTTGTCGTCTGCTTTCGTCTCCACTTTCTGCCCCCACCCCTTCACCTCCTTTGCCCCTCCTCTGGGCTCCTGACTCTTTCTGCAGCCTTTCTACTGTTTCTCCTTGGCTCCTTCTTACTGCTGTCTTTCAGCCACACCCCTGGCCTTCGGGCTGGAAAGATCTACACCTAGCTTTCTTGGACAAGGGTGAAAAATCTCGGAGGTCCCCTGTGCAAGTTGTGCACGTTAAAAATCCGTTGGTGATCTAAAATCGATAGTAGTAGGCTTCGGCCACCAACCGGGCAAAATTTGAAATTTCCTACAAACTGAAAATGTTTAATGTGTCCAACGCTCTCATGTGACCTTATGCAGTTGCGACCGCCGTAAAACACTTCAAAAATAAAAGCTAAACACTCCCCATCTACACAATTTAGATCATTTAGGAAACGGGCTTTGACCTTGCCTGTGGGGGGGGGGGGGGGGCAACCTGGGCTGAGAGGGATATAATAGCCCAACACAAAGAATGAGATACTTGATAAAAATTCTCCCCACTTTGGAATTGAACTTACGCCTCCTGTGTGTGGCATCAGGGCACCAAACCGCTATACCACAGATTCTGGTTTTGTTTGTGTAAATTCTTTAATTAAGCTTAATTTTAATTTGAGGGTATAGTACTGAAAAGTAATCTTTTCCTTTTCCCAGGATCACTTTGTGGCGTGTCTGAACGCAGGCACGGAGAAATCTGTGTTCCTTATAGACTCCATGACGCAGGAGGAGCTACAGCATAGGACAAATGGAGTTGTCTCCCCAGATGTGTTTGCGGTTGCTATGGTGATCGATCCCACCATCGTGCTGGAGAAAGAGAAAGTTTTCGTGACTGTTGAGCTTAAGGGAGAGTACTCCAGGGGCCTGATGGTTGTGGACAGGAGAGGCTTCATGGGAAAGCCGCACAACGCGTTTGTCGTGAAAAATATGGACCTTAGCAAAACACAAGCCTTATTCGGAGTAGTGTTCAGCGGGCAGGATGTGAATGATGGCTGCTTGCCTGTCACGACTGTAGCCCCTACAAGGGAACATTCCGTGCCAATACTTTACAGAGAAGTTCGACTACCAGTTGTGTAATGTTTGTGTGTACAGTTTTCTTGGTGGTTTATTCTTGGTGATGCTGGTTGCCGTCATGAATACAGCTGTTCTCCGAAAGTTTTCTGGTTGATGTTTAAGATTTTCGCTCCCTGCTGCTTGAACTGCTCTAAGAAAGTTTGAGGATGTCAATGCAATAGTAGGTTTTTTGCTTTCATATTGTTCAAATTGCATTTTCAACTTGTTTTTTTAATTTAGTTTCATTACAAATCTTACAGCACTTGCAAGACAATTAAGTCATTCCTCCTAAGTGCCAAAGAAAAGAGGTGTTACAAGAAAGTACCAGAAACATAAATAAAAAAGGAGGAGAGGTAAGGGCGACTGATATTTGATAGGACAGAAAGAGCAAATCACATCAGAGGGCCTGACAATAAACTGCTTGAACTGCGGTAAGGAATCGTTGGAGATGACAATACAGCTTAGCTATTGTGCTTTCTTATCAGTTTAACTTAACTACATTTTGAACTTTGTTTTGCTGATACTAGTTGACCTTGAAAGACAAGAAATTGTAGGGGGGTGGACATAGAGGTAAGTGAGCGATAGGAGGGTGCCACATTGTTGTTTCTATCAGAACTGCACATTGTTGTTTCTATCAGAACTGCTCAGTGTTAAGATTGCGTCATATTGTTACTTTTCAAAATGGCTAATGGCAGTCTTACAAGAAGCAGATCAGTCTGTCTGTGTTTCTTTTCTCTGCACTAAATAAATGCTATATCGTATATATATATATATATGTTGATGTGCTTTTCCGCACTGAAACAAACAGAAAGAGGTAATGTCTGTCTCAAAAATGCTTTTTCTAAGTCTACATTTTCTCATGTTCAGAATGTACGGATATCCCTATGGCTGGCTTTCCTTCGAAACAAAAACTTGTGTCCTTCGGAATGGTACCTCATTTTCCTCCGCACACTCAGCAGCAAATAGGTTATCTGCTTTCAGTAAAGATGTAATATGTGATTGTGAATGGAAGAAGTATACTTAACAGGCAAAAACACTGTAACGTTCCCAGGTGTTTGAAGTGGTAATTGGAAATGAAACTGCTAACCAAAATTAATGTTGAGAATTTGTGTCAGCCTTCAAGGGGATACATGTGACTGTGGACAAACACGTACATGTCTTTTTATTTAAACAATACTCAACTGTTTGTATGTTTGTGAGAAGGGAGAGAGCGAATGAGGGACAGAGAAAGAGAGAAAGAAAAAGAGGGAGAGAGAGAGAGAGAGAGAGAGAGAGAGAGAGAGAGAGCAGTGATGGGGGTGGGGATGAGGAGGAGTCATAATCTGTATTCCAGATGGATTTTATTATGTTATTTAGTAAAAAGGCTATGCCGCTGATGCGTAGGAAGGAAAGATATGACAAAGTTTGTCAACAATCAGCTTTTATTTGTCATTGAAAAGCTGCCATCTTGAATTTCATCTGTGAATAGCGCACGTTGAGACTTGTTCACTCTCAATAAGTATATTATATTAAAAATATGTCATAGAATCTGGTTTTGAAAAGTTAAGTGAAAGTGTGAACTTTTTTTTTACAGAGACTTAAGATTTTTTTTGTAATTTCTATAAGAACCATGTCATATTTCACAAAATCAAACGAACATTTTTAAAAAAGTGAAATTATGGGGTTTTTTAAATGGCTTTTTTAACTGGTTTTGTGTTGTTACAAAGTGTCTTTGAGTCACATGGCGTAGTATTATTAATTATGTACTTTTGTTTATGTTGTACAAGGGAAAAGATCTAAACAAAACTAATAGTATGTACCTGGCATAATTGCCGAGATGCGGAAGTATTTTTGTATGTTACAAATTTTGCTTTGTATGTGTTTTAAATACAAAGAATTTACATGAATGAAAATATTTCTGAACCAGAAAAACTGTTCCCTTGGTCTGTGTTTTGCTGTGTGTGTGCTAGACTGTAGTTAGTTAACCTTTCAGGTGTCGTGACGGCATCGGCCGTCAGGGTCACTTCAGTGGTGCCGCGGCCGATGACAGCTGATCAACGATGTTCCATAGTAATATTAGGCCTACAAATAAAAATGCGAATACGAATGTCGACGAGTCCTATACTTGAATAGCAGTTTATAAGTGTTTACTTTTACGACTTTAGTTTTAGTTTTTAACTTCTAACTTGATGAAATTCGAGCTCTTAAAACTGTCAAATCTGCGCTTCTATTTAGATCTAGAGATCCAAACTTGACTTAAAGACGTTTGAACCTTTTGAAGGTCCCTCTAGTTTGTGCACTTCAAGCTGTTCTCGAACTAGATCGGACTTATATTTGAATTATTTTCTGGAAACCAAAGTGATGAGGATGATGCTTTTGAAGGAATACCACAAAAACCATTCTCCATCATGAGTGAAACTAATAGATTTATAATTATAAGACCACATCACAGATTAGCCCCCCCCCCCCCCCTCCCCAGGGCAGTGCAGTGCTACTGACTGAAGTATCTTTAGGTCATTTCTAAAGGGGGATATTAACATGTTCTTATGCTCAGTAGAATTGTAAATGGGTTGATTTATCAATGTCATACTCATTGTGCCAGAACAACGTTGGGGGGGGGGGGGGGGGGGGGTGCTGCTTTTTCTTTACTATCGTCATTTTTCCTCTACTTCCTTTGAATGTTTGTCACTCTCTTGTGGACTGCAATTTCCAGGGTGCCTTGATTGTCGAAGCAGAAAGACCTTGTGCTGTTGAGGCTAGAGAGGTGAGCAAAGTAAGCCTGATTTCCCGTTTGGACTTCTCTGTTGACATCTACCCCTTTGCGCTCATTTGACCTTATTATGCAGTTGCGAACGCCATAAAACCTTACTACAGTGGAATCCTGTTATAACGAGAGGGAGGGGGACGGGTGCAAAATATCCGTTATAGCAGTATTCTCGTTTTAAGGGATCCACTAATCAATTCACGGAAGGCCTAGATAATCTTGATTACACTGGCCTATCACACGATGCGTTCTGCGCATGCCACTCCCTCCCCATTCGTTCGCTCAGGTCTTCGTGGTTGGCACACGTAGGCTCTCCCATTCTTTGTTTGGCTAGATCACCAACAAGTTTCTCAACTGGCGAGGTTTTACATGATGTATAATTAGCTTGTGCACTGTGCTCAGCAGCAGCAGTTTTCTACTATTACTGACTCGTGTGTTTGTCTGATTGCGTTTTTTATAGCAGTATTTTATTTACAAAGACAAAGAAGGGGAAAAAACGGGGTTTTGGAATAGTGTCTTTACAACAGACTTCTCGTAATTTTTCAATTGAGGACTCATTGTAAGTGGACTCCACTGTAAAACAAACAGATCAGGGTTTGACTTCCAAGAGGAGGTATGGTATATGTAAGGTCAGTTTGAAATTATTTTAATATATAATAATACAATAGACTGAAAGACAACAGTAAGAAGAAGCGAAGGAGTAGCAGTAGAAAGAATCAGGAGCCCAGAGGAAGGGGCAAAGGAGGTGAGGGGGTGGGGGCAGAAAGAGGAGACGAAAGCAGACGACAGAACATTGCTAGAGAGCAGGAAATGAGGTGAAAGGAGACAAATTTAGAGAAGAAAATTTTTCGGTCGCTACCCGGATTCGAACCTGGGACCTTTTGAATGAGAGGCCAACACCTTAACCTCTAGGCCACAAGAGCCCCCGACTATTTATTAAACTGTAAAATAACATTTTGTCTTAGTTTCCAAATTGCGTTGGGATTTCATTTTCATTTCAAATACATGAACCGGTAGTCAAAGTTGCCCAAGATGGCCACTCAATGTCGAGGACAAAAATGATTGTTCTAGACAGATACATGTACATGTCTTCGACAGTGTAAAAAATTAAAAAGTATGGCTTTAATGTCCCTAACACACCTTTAGGTCATTCAGTGTCATAATATTTTTTAAAATTTGCAATGGGGAAGTTGGAAGTGATTGTTTAAACAAGGTAGTGATTGTCTAGAACAGGTGGCCATTAGAACAGTTTCAACTGTAGTTTGAATCAGAAGTCTTGTTGCATCTCTCACAATATCAGAAAAAATGTTTGCTTCCAGAATCAGGTAAACGCTTCCCACGTGAGCTAGATTCAATTCACATCTACTCTGTCTTGACTCTTTGCTCTCTACATGTATTTATTAATATCTGTTTCTAGCTAGCTTTGTGAAGGAAATCACCCCAGAAAATAGTTTTTGCTGTCGTTCATGTAATACCTTCATCTATACGTTCTTACTAACGTTCTCTGACCGTCTAGGCCTTCATACACTGCTCAGACATGGAACAATACAGAGAACCTCAACCAATGTCACAAATCGGTATGTCATGTGTACGTGTGCGTTTCTAAAAATCTGTGCTGAAATTCTTCAAATCAGGACACACTGACTTGTGTGTAAAAGAGTACCGGAATGCTCTAAGCTTGTGGCTGATCTGTTGTTTTGGAACTGAATACATGCATGATACTATCTTCACAATTGGGTTAAAATTCTCAAAGTTTTTCTCTTTTCTAGAAAATAGCATCTGAACAGTGTAAGAAAAGAAAAACTGAAGTTTTCAAGACATCTTTTTAATGGCATCAGTGGTATGGAAAACCCCCAAATATGTAATATACAAAATGAGATGCACAGTGATTTACAATGTAATGATTGCATAATATATCAAATGATGAGTTAAAAACCCTCCCCCTCTCATCCTCGTGCCTCAACACCCTCTTTTTCTTCATTCTTATCACTTTCGTTCATTTTTCACTCACTCTCTTCATTATAGTTGTGCACTTCAACTTCAAGGAAAAAAAGAAAACGTAAATTAAGACCAAGAATTTTGTTCACTTTAAGAGGAACGTTTATGTTAGTGAGGATATATATACTAGTGGACTCCATGGTATTTATGCAGAGAGAAGAATCATCAAACTTACGTGACCTGCGAGGGTTTTTTTTTACCCTTATTTGAGCAATCTAGGTGTTCGACCTTACCTACCATAAGACCAGCGTTGTTTCTGAATTTCAGCAGTAAGATGGAGCAAAGGAGTAGCGGTAGATAATCAACAGAAAGAGTTAGGAGGGGGCAAAGGTGGTGAGGGGGCAAAGGTGGTGAGGGGGTGAGAGCAAAAAGTGGAGACGAAATGAGACAACAGAAC